GGCTAGAAAAGTAGGACATTAAGCCACTACTGAATTCCCCAGGCCCTTTAGAAGACAGGCTTTCGTCCTTGCTGTCATCACTGGGCGACTGCCGAGCTGGTGAACCCTGGGCTCCCTGGTGAAGCCCAATGGGACCTGGACTCGGGCCAGGGGATCCAGCATAGGGTAATGGTTCTAAACCAGGATAGCTAGATTTCATCACAAGATGGGGATGGCCAGGATGACTTGGTGATCCATGGCCAGGGTGACCAGATGGTGGTGGTCTGTATAAGTCATGTGGTGGTCCTCGCAATACGCCTGGGTGAGGTGGAACACCTCTTGGGGGATATGGACCCGGACCACTAGGGTGTGGTGGCGGGGCGTATGCACCAGCAGACATGCGAGGAAGAGAATGTCCAGGTGGTAAATGTGCTGGGTGTCTTGAAGGTACCCCATGTGGACTAGGAGAATGTCTGCCAGGTGGAGGATATCCAGAGAAGGCTGGATGAGCTGGGAAGTGTTCTGAAGGTCTGTATGGTGGATAACCTGGTGAGTGAACCACTGTTGATGTAGGGGGTCCAACTGGGGGCATATTACTAGGTGCTGTGCTACCAGGAGGTAGTCCTGGTCCACTAGGGGTTAATGGCAAAGGTGAGGATCTGTAGGGTGGTGGCGGTGAAGCTGTAACAGGAGCCCCAGACAAACCAGGGAGGGTTGGTGGTGTTCCTGCACCAGGAGAGGGACCCATCCCTGACCTAGGAGGTGTCCCCGGAGCACCACTGACGCCAGACAAATGAGGAGACCATTTACCTAAAGGTTGTTGATGACCAGGACTATTATTTCCTAAATTAACTGGAGCTGCATTGCTTCCCATAGCTGCAGCAACAATGTTTGCAGAAACTGCTATGGTAGTTGGCAAAGCTGTGTTAGTTTGTAAAGTAGCTGGGTTTGTAGGAGGTGGGGTGCCAGATGCCACAGGTTCTGGAGTGTGGTGAATAGGAGAGGCAGCAGCAGGTACAGATGGTATAGATGGTACAGCTGGGGCAGCTGGAACAGATGGAGCTGCTTGAGCAGATGGAACTGCTGGAGCAGCTGGAGCAGCTGGAGCAGAGGGTACCAATGTTGCTGATGCTACAGTAGTAACTGGTGTTGGTTGGATCGTGGATGGTCTAGTCGGAGAAGGCTTTCCAATTAATTCATCCTTCTTTGGTCGACCTCTTTTCTTTTTTCCTTTATTTGACTTATTCTCCTCATCTGGAATGAAAGAAAGTGGGAAAGCTTTAATTTTGATTTATTCTCTTCAACTGGAATGAAAGATAGTGGGGAAAACTATTTTCTGACAGAATGTAATTAACTGAAAAGTTATATTCAAAATCAATGTCAACTTTCATTTTTCATTAACAACCTCCACTTCATTTCCTTTCCCCAACTGGACTAAAATGCATTTGACTGACAACCAGTGAACAGGTTGGTTATGATAATACAAAATGCATTGATATTATTCAGACATTTTGTATTTACTCAATTTTTACCAACTTTTCAAATGAACCTTTAGGTTGATGATGATAATAATAATAAAACAGATAATTAAAGTTTTGAGTTTAATATGCATTTACTCTGAAATGATAACACCAACATCATCCTCATTCTCATAATAATAGTTCTGCCATACTAAGATGAAAATGATATGTTGTAAAAACAACACCAATAATGACATTAATGATAATGATGATGATGATAACAATAACAGCAATAAAAAATAATAATAATAATAAAAAGAAAGAAGCAAAGAAAACTCAACAGCCTTGAAATAGAAAGCTGCAACTAACCCTCTTCCTCTCCCTTCATGACTTTGCCCCGACCAAGACCGCCACTGACTCCTCGGCGTTTCATTCTTTCATCGTCGGAAGCTTCGTATTCACTGCTCTCTGTTGGGACACGTTCTCCTTTCATCACCTTCCCTCTCCATTTCTTTTGGGGCTGTAATAATAAACAACAGTTTAATCATCAACTGTGGAGGAGAAAAACAAATAAGGCCATTTGTTATCAATCAATGTAGCATTTATTTCAGGAATTCCAAGCAAAATGGGAAAGGTTAGGAACAGGCATAGAGGTGGTGTGCATCTGTTACAGGATCCAACACATCTGAACCTTTTCATTCCAATTAGACTCTTCTTTCAATCTCTCTCACTCATTCATTCATTTTCCAATGAACAAAATCATGAAAATCTACCTTGGTACCCACCTCTTCCTCTTCTGTTTCGTCTGACATCAGGAGAGCATCATAGTAGTTCACTTGTCGTCCCCTTGTCACTCTTCGCTGAGCAAGAGTTTCTTCTTCTTGATCTTCGTCTTTTGGCTTGGGTGGTTTTGAGTACTTTATCTGTAAAGAGAATTGTGCCTTTAATATTACAACCAACAAATTTTAGTTATACCACATAATATAAATAAAAAAATCCTACACACAGCAATTTTCAATAACTATGAATTACATTGCATTAAATACAAAATAATGCCAAATTGCAAAAATAAATAAATAATAAATAGAACCATATCCATAAACAAATTAACAAAGTTAAACAATCATGACAGACACTTACTCTTGGTTTCTTTTCTTTATCATCTCCTGTTGGGGTTTTAGCTTTCTGTTTCTGTTTAGACTTTGCATTTTTCCTTCCACCTCTGGCTTTATTTGAACCTCTGCGACCTTTGACTTTTGGCTGGGGTCTCTTCCTTCTGTTTTGTAAATATCAACAATACTTTTCAGCAAGAGTAAAGATACAATATTAAAATAGGTGAGCATATTTTCCTGTTAACATTTGGTTGTGTATAATCTGGTGTGGTCAAATACAATCCAACTGGCTAGTGCATTCCTGTTTCTATTTGGATTATATACTTCACTTTTATAATTCATATGAAACTGTCTACATTGATGTGAAAGAAGTTTATTCAATTAGGCCTAAAACTAAAACTCACATTATTAAGAACTGGAATTGATACATAATTTTTTAAATACAGTTTTTGAAGAAACACTTGATTTATGCAACTTACACTTTCTTTCTCCTTCTATAACTTCTGTCACTATCTGAACTAAGTTCGTCCTCGTCTTCTTCACTGGAACTCTGTTTTCGTCTCTTCTTCTTTTTGTTCTTCTGTTTTTTAGAAACTCTTTCATCCATTTCACTATCTGTTTTTTGGTAATAAAAGAGGGAAAAAAATATGCAAATGTTAAACATTAATTTTAAAAGAATAAAAATTTCATGATCAAACTCTATCCCACTCAATTTTTCACAAAATACCGCCAAGTATAGGAAACATAAAAGTGAAGTAGATGGCTAAAAAATACTAAGTACTATCAAACCAATTTAATAAGAATGAAACTGTTTCAACACACAGACAGTAGAGGTGAAAAGAGGAAGAATTCTTACCATAATCATCTCCACCTCGTCGATTACGAGCAGAACGACGCAGTGGCAAGTTCTCCCATCTACTGCTACGTCTTCTCTTTGAACCAACAACATCTGAGTCATCACTCTCCACCTCCGTTGCCAAAGATGATGATGATTCCACGGACTCCTCGGTCTCCTCCTCCTCCTCCTCACTGGTTATAATTTAAAAACATGACAGCATTATAAAATGTACAAAATTTGAATTATGCCCTACAATAGAATGACTACCTGTTAATTACATGCACAAAAATTGTGGAAATATACTTAAAGAGAATTTAGGCAATCTTTTCTGGGATATGAAAAATGGATTCTAGTGTTTTATGTAAGTCACTGAAAACTCTGTCTAAACTGTAGATAACAATAGGTAATCAATGATGTATATACAACAACAACAGATGCAAGCAAATACCAACCAAAACCCACAACCATACTTCCACATATAAGCTTTGTAAGCTTATGTAATACTTCCCAAACCTCTTACCTTGTATTTATGAAGTCTTCATCACTGGCATCATCTTCATCAACAGCATCTAAGTCTGTTAGCCGTCGCTTCTTCTTTACTACTAAGTTTGACATTTTCCTCCCTCGTTTTCTTACATTTTTCATGTCGTCTGAGTCTGAATCCTCTTCATTTTGCTGAAAAACCTCACTGGTTATAATTTAAAAACATGACAGCATTATAAAATGTACAAAATTTGAATTTTGCCCTACAATAGAATGACTACCTGTTAATTACATGCACAAAAATTGTGGAAATATACTTAAAGAGAATTTAGGCAATCTTTTCTGGGATATGAAAAATGGATTCTAGTGATTTATGTAAGTCACTGAAAACTCTGTCTAAACTGTAGATAACAATAGGTAATCAATGATGTATATACAACAACAACAGATGCAAGCAAATACCAACCAAAACCTACAACCATACTTCCACATACAAGCTTCGTAAGCTTATGTAATACTTCCCAAACCTCTTACCTTGTATTTATGAAGTCTTCATCACTGGCATCATCTTCATCAACAGCATCTAAGTCTGTTAGCCGTCGCTTCTTCTTTACTACTAAGTTTGACATTTTCCTCCCTCGTTTTCTTACATTTTTCATGTCGTCTGAGTCTGAATCCTCTTCATTTTGCTGAAAAAGAAAGGAGGAAACAAGAATATAAATCTACAAGCAAAAGCAAGTAATAAGAAGTGTAAAGTGAAAGTAACAATTAATCCCCAGATAGGCATTAAGTAGGGAAATACAAACTACAAATACCAAACCTTGGTGCTATTTACCTCATCACTCTCATGATAGTCCTCATCATTGCCACTACCATCATGATCTGATGATGGTGGTGGTTTGGCCTTCTTTCTCTTAGGAGCAACATCCTCCTCATCCTCCTCTTCTTCTTCTTCCTTCAGCCTATCTTCTTCTCCATCTTCCTCTTCATCTTGCTTACTTTCCTCATTCTCGTTTTCCTCATCTTCTCCCCCCTCTTTCACCTTCCCATGGCCATCCACGCATTCTCTACCCTCCCACTCTGCTTCATCTTTCACGTCTTCATCCATGACTGCTTCTTCTGTTTCCATCATCTCTTCATCGTTTGCTTGGATGATGTTGTCGATGTCTTTCCCTCTGCCCGCATTCCCTGCTCCTGCTGCTGCTTCCATTTCATCCTACGGAGACAGGTATTCAACCAAATTAATAAAAATCAACATAGATGTATTCTGTATGATTGCCTGTCTTGTTTCCTGCACTGGATAAAAATAATGAACAAAGAAGTCCTCTTAAAAAAAAAGAGGGAATATTACTCCAAATTAATAACTAAGTTTGCAACTGTGTTTCAACCCTTTGGATCCGGGTGAAGTGACCATCACTACATGAGAAAATCTACCATGAGGGGCGGGTGAAGTGAACATGCTGTCATGGGAAATTCTGGCTGTAGGCCGGGTGATGTGAACCTGCCATCGTGAGTGTTTGGCTGAAAGCAAGGGTGATGGAAAAGAACCTGCCATCGTGAGTGTATGGCTGAAAGCGAGGGTGATGGAAAAGACTTGCTTTGAGTGTACAAACCTCCTGGGAAGTTTATTTTACTCCTTTGGTGATTTTGCATTATGTATGAGTGTGGAATGTAATGTTTGTGGGCTGTGACTGGAAGAGCACTGGCCCCATGGAGGATGCTATATCCATGCTCAGCACTGTATTTTCCTGGTGCCTTGACCAGTAGGTTGTATTACAGAAAATTATTATTATTATTTTTTCTCCATAGTTTTATTTTATAGAGTTATAGACTACTTAGAGATGATATGGAGTCTTTGCAAAGAAAAGTCTATTACCATCTGGATAAATGACAAGTATGGCAAAAGAAAAATGGCCAAAAAGCTTAAATTGTTTATGTGTAAAAAGAATAAACAACTTTGCAATTAGGAGGCATAGTCTTGTCACAGCACATACATGTTCATGTACGTCCAGTCTACAATCTGCCACCAGGCAAAATGACTGTTCAAATAAGCCTAATGCCTGGATTTTTGGTGATGTGATTGCCGTGATACAACCGGATCCAATGGGTTGAGGACTCAATGCACTACTTACCCTGATGGCTTCATTTATCATTTCATCAAAGTCCTCAACCTGTTCCCTTAAGGTTCGAGCACTGCGGGCTCTTAAAGTGTAAAGAGGAGCTGAGGATCCTGATGAACTCTCACTAGATGAACTACTGTCATCATCACTTTCACTGTCTGATTCCTGTAGGAAAACAGTATTAGTGACTCACAAATCTTATAATATTGAATTAAAAATAATCATAATTGTACCATAATGTGTAATATCGATCAAGAAATCAGAAAAAAAAAGTAACACAATATTACAAAAACAAACAAGCAAGCAGTTACAAATTTTCTTACATCTGAATCCGATTCGCTTCCGGACTCATCGTCCTCGTCATCCTCTTCCCCGTCCTCTGCCCGCTTCTTCTTTTTCTTCTTATCCTCAGGCAGGACGTTAGACATTGAAACACTGACATATGCAAGTCTCTGTCTTCTTAATTCTTCATTGTGAGCCCGTTTCTGGCACTCATCAAATTCATTTAGGAGGTTTTTCAGCTTGCTGACGAGCAGAACCTGAGAGAGAATAATTGTGAAATAATTCTCACGAAGAAATTTTACACCATTTACATGCATTCCACAAGAGAGAGAGAGAGAGAGAGAGAGAGAGAGAGAGAGTCAAATAGCTAAGAAAAATAAATCTAATATATCAAAATATATAGCAAAAGAAAACCCAGTCTCACATGATCTCAAACACAAACATAAATTTAATTACATGTTCACAAGAGGGGCAAATCCAGTCCCCTTCGGGAACGCTAAGAAGAGGTGGGCGGAGACAGGAAAGATGCCAGCCTGCGTCACAATTGTCACAGAGTAAGATGGTCTCGGGATGATCATCATGGCCACATTTTGTACATTGGGTTTGGTCTTCCTCCTCTTCCTCTTCATCCTCTTCTTCCTCCTCTGGTTGGTCCTCAACTTCACTTTCACTTGTGACTGAAATTTGTAGAAGAGAGGAAAGAAGGAAGATAGTCAACAGTAGTCAATTAAAAAATTTAAAAGTTTACTAAAAATAAAGAATTCTGAATATCTATGAAAGATGTCTACATACCTTTCTTTGCTGTTCTTGCTCTTTTAATTGGCTGAGCATCAGCCTCTTCAACATCTGATTCTGGAGAAAATTCATGGTCACTCTTGAACACAAGATTTTCATCTTCTTCATCTTCAAGGTCATATTCTTCCTCTTCCTCAGTACTTGAACTAAACAAAATTAAAGAGGCTTGTATTAGAAAAATAATCATAACTTTATAAAAGGATCTAGTCAAATTTTGTCAACTTATGTTAGAACAGAAGATAAAATCATAAAAAATACTGTATTCTCACAGTTGCTATTGCTTACTCATCATACACAACACTATGTGAAAGCCACAGAGAATGGCAGGTATTGCAGGTTATACACTAAATACAAATTTAAAGGACTTGTGTAATGAACCATAAACAAAAAGTATCTAAATGGAAATATTAGAGCCAAAAACATATACATGTACATACATATATATACACACATATACATCTCTCCCTATCCCTTCTCCTTATAAAGGGGGAAGAGGGTGGGGGGAGGAAGAAGAGGACAAGGAGAAAAAAATAAAAAAAAAGTATGACAGCCTTGCTGAGAGGACACAAACATGAAAATGAGTAAGTAAATGAGTAGTCCCAACAGTTATCAGGTAAAGTATGAGCAACATTAAAATACACAAATATACCTGGATGAAGTTGAGGAGTTTTCCCACGGATCATTTGGATGAGCTCTTTTCTTCTTTCCCCGCTTTTTCTTTTTCTTTTTCTTTTTTTCTCTATCCTGTTTGGGAAATCATACATTCTTGTTAATTGAATATTATAAAAGTCAGGGAGCTTCATGTTAGTGCTTTTATAATTCTATTACTGCTCTAAAAAGCAAAGGAGAAAACAGATTTTACAGAACTTTTCCAATGAATCATATTATAAATATATATTATATACTGAATCTTTGTGTAGCATACATTATTATTTACTACTTCTAATCAAAGGGTATTCATGCAATGTGATGAACTTGAATCTTTAACCAAATACTTTACCTTTTTCTCTTTCCTTTCCCGCCTTCCTTTCTTCAGCTCCCTTAGTGACTGGAATGAAAGAATTATTTAAATCTTTAAACTCAATTCAAGTGTCTAACTTTTCATATTCAAATGCTCATTAGAAAAAAAAAAAATCAGCATTAAACTGAGGAGCTTCCATCTTACTCGTCTCTCTTCTCTGGCTTTCCTCTTGAGCTCCTTCAGCCGATTTTCTTCTGCCAGCTGTTTCATTCGTTGAGCTTCCAGCTCTCTTCTCTCCATTTCCTCTTTCTCTCTTATCTTTGCAATACGTGCTGACCTCTGTCTAGGAACTGCAAGGAATTGAAATTTATAATTGGATATATTACCTGGATGAATGTTTCCGGTACCTTCTAAAAAATTCCCTGCACTGAATATTAAATACACACTTTCTATCATCTGCTGCAATACATCATATAATGAGTGACAAAGTAATACTGTGTGAGAAAATCCCTATTTCTCCTTTAAGGCTTGCTTCTGACTCACCAAGGTACTGTCCATGAATATATACTACAATACTCTTTGTAACTAACTGATAATAGATTTTCCCTGATTAATCTACGCAAACAATTCTTTTGTACTGTTTATGCTCATCTCTGAAGTGATTCTGCTTCTGATCAATATTTTAAATATTACTTGTTACAGTAAAAATAATAACATACAAACAAAGAACTACTGAATATATCAACAGTAAAAACGAATTTAGCACGCATACATGCAGTTCCTTTCCCCATGTGGAGGACCTTTACACTCCTATGGATCAAAAGCAATTGGTGGACTCCTTGATGAGCCCTTACTTGGTCCTGTGATTTAAACTTGTTGGGAAGAGCTACTGTGACTGCTTAGCTTGCAGCCTTTATAGTGTGCAACTCACGGACACAACCTGGGGTCAGTGGTCCAAAGAGGGACAAAAAATAAACATACAAGGAGACTTTTCTTGAATATGATTTTATGCCTATAAATGCAGGACAGAGCATATGAAGGGGGGTCTTCATCTGTGTTTTGCTTAGTGACTACAGGCTACAAATGAAGCAGATGCACTATGACATATGGGTATTTCTTATCTGCATATATGAAAAAAAGTATGGGGTGGAATATATAATAAAAAAACATGGAATGTGTAATGAAAGAAACACATTCAAAATGTGTGGAAAATGGAAAGAGGGTGGGAGAAAACACAATCTCTTTTTAAAAATAATATTTATAATAAAGAAGATGAGGGAGATGGAGAAGGAGAAGAAAAAGAAAAAGAAAAGACTTTAAACTTCCTTGATATATCTTCTACACTATTCTATTATTATTATTTAAGTTTTATATGCTGCTGCAATATATATCAATTCTTCATCAGAATGTTCCTTAAAAGGCCTACATGTATTACACACTCCTAAATGATAACAATGGTAGAAATCATGCTCACTTTAGTCCAGAACATGATTAAACATGACACACCAGTTATCAGTCATTCAGAAGCAAGAAATGAGAAATTATCCTGAGCTTTTTCTTAAGTAATTGCCTTGAATATATACTACATGTGCAATGGTGAAAGGAGCTGTGAAATGTTCATAGTCGACACCAGTTACCATGAATCAACATACTGTATATAGAATATTGTGATACCTAGAAACTTTAAATGGATAAATATTTCAGTAATGTATTTGAGGAAAATATGATGAGAATGTAGCCATATGTAGATGTGCAAACCTATGTGCACATACTAAATCTACTTGGTATCATATCTAAAATATCTGAATATTTTGTTAAAAAACTAAATATGTTACTATTCAACCTGAGATGAATAGATAATATAATAAAAATACCCCCCCCCCTCCTGAGTGGTATATGGAAAGATTATCAAGAGGTATATGTAAACCCATTTCCCTTCCTGACTTCTTGTTAATCTATAATAATTACACTCAGAAAAACAAAAAGGAAGAAGTAACTCACCATCAGGCAATGGCCGTGCGGTGCTGCCTTTCCCTCGTTGTCTTCTCTTTTTGCTTGGTGATTTGTCTTCTTCCTCATCTCCATCATTGTCTACTTCCCCTTCCTTTTCTTCTTCAATTTCACCATCACTCCCTTGGGCTTCTGGGTCAGTTGCCTTCCTCACTGGCCTTCCTCTGCCTTTCGGACGTTTTTTGTGAGTGCCGAAAGGCCGGCCGCGGCCTCTTTTAACTGGTTTGGATTCTTCTTCTTCTTCTTCTTCATCTTCGTCTTCACTTTCACTGTCCTTTTTCTCTTCCTCTTTTATAGACGATTCATCCTCCTCCTCCTTTGCTACTTCCTTTTTTTCTATGCTGACATTTTCTGTGTCATTTGTCTCCTCAGCATTTTCTTTCTCTTCATCATCTTTGTCATTTGTCAAAAGCTTATCTTCATTCTCAATTGATTCTGATTTAGTTTTTTCCTCTACTACTTCTTCTTTATCTTTATCATTTACTGCATCCACTTCACTCTTATCTCTATCATTGCACTCATCACTGTTCTCCTTCGTTTTCTTACCATTAACACTACTATGTTTCTCAACCAATTCCCCTGTTTTTTCAGGCATACTTAAACTTTTCTCTGTTTTTTCTGTTGAGTCTATAGTTCTTATTCCATTCACTTTTGTTTCATCACTGTCTGGAACTCCATCAACTACTTTTGCTTCATTGTCAGGTCTTAAACTATCAACCTCCTTTTGTGGTTTTATTTCACTTGGTGTTGGGTTTCCTTGACTTTCTGCTGTAACAGCTGCACTACTGCCCCCACTGTCAGCTTGCTTTGCATCAGAATTAGTTTCGGTTTCATCACCATTATTTCCAGCATCACAATCAGCACCATTGCCCTCTCCCCAGAAATACATAATTTCTTCTGTTACAGCTTCCCCTACACTATCACCTGAACTATCACTTCTACTAAAACACTCCCACCAAGGCTTTGAAGAGTCTGTGTGACATTCAATATCACTGTCCAGCAGTGGGTTTCCTGCCTCACAAGCAGCACCTTCACCATCCCCCTTCACCAACATGACAGGTTCTGTGATTGCTTCCCCTACTTCAGGTTCTGGTCCTATGGGTTTTGCACTGTTTTTATCTGTTGAATCGCTTGGTTTCTTGTCAACATCCATTTTTGCATCACTAGCTGAGTCTTTCTCTGATGGCTGCTCCTTTGGGACTGCCTCATCAACTTCCATCTTTGAGTCTTCATGAGTTGATTTCTTTTCATCATGAACTCCAGTTTTGTCTGGAGGTTCACAAGGTTTGGGCTCACTTGATGATTCCACCTCCATTTTTTCATCCTTTGCTGGTAAAGCACCTGTGTCAGTTTCAGGAGATACATTGGTGGTCTTTCTTTCTTTGTCTGAACTGGATGGCTCTACTTCCATTTTTTCTTCTGCAACTAAATCTTTCTTCCCTTCACTTTTACTTCCCTCCAACACTGGTATGCATTTAGTACCTTCTTCATTGCTTTTCTTAGTTTCATCTTTCAAATGTGATGTGTTACTTGCACTTGGAATATTTGTATCTACCTTTTCCTGATCTACTTTTGCACTTTCAGAATTAATATTTTGAACTGGCTTGCACAGACTTTTGTCTGTATCAGAATGAACTTTCTTTGTATCTACAACTAGATTTTCACTTTTTAATGGCTCAGTAGCATTTTTTATTTTATCAGAATCCTTATCAAAAGGTATTTGTTTACCTTGGCTACTTCCACTTGTTTCTGATTTCACACTAAGCTTAACCTCAGACTGTGTACTGCTGGGTGCAGAATCTGGCTTACTTAAAAGTTGTCCCCCTTTACCTACTGATTCACAGATCTGAGTTACGTTTTTGTGCTCCTCAATGGGAGGACTTTTCTGAGATTCAAGAGGTTTAATATCTTCCACCTTTAATTTCTTTTGTGGAGGCTCATGAGTACTTTCATCTCTTGTTGGAGAAACAGCTAGTGGTTTTTTCAAGGATGCAGTAATAGTATTATCAGCTTGTAAGGTACTGGAGGGAGTGTTTAATAGCACAGTTGAAGGACTGACAATGGTACTTACACTAGATGGCTTCAGGGACTCCTGCATTGTGCCTTTGAGTCCTTCAGTCAATTTCTCACCACTTGAAGCAGTTGCTGGCTTATCTCCAAGTTTTGGTAAAGATTCACTAACCTTGATTGAGGATTTGTCTGTGTTCGGTTTAGCCATTTGAGAACTTTCCTTCTCCTCTTTCATGGCCTCTGAACTCTTGTCCTTCTCGGGTATTACCTTTTGCACGTCAGATCCAGGTTTTGCCACACTGGGCTTATAGCCTCCAATCAGATCTTTGCTCTCAGGCACTTCCTTTTTGGATGTTTCTACTCCTCTTTTATGGAGTTCCTTTGCTTCCTCCTTAACTTCTTTCATTTTGTTCAACTTGTCCCACACACTCTCTTTTTTCTTAACCTCAA